AATAGTTTCAAAGAACGCTTGATCAACAACCAAAACCTCTGACGACGAAACAGACAGACAACTTTTATTTAAGCACGATTCTGAATTAAAGCTCAGTAGCTTCTGGGGTCGTGTGAGTGGCGATTTGCCTTTAAAAGCACATGTAGTATTCCCCAATGTCTTTAGGGACTGATTAGATATACAGTGGAACCTAGGATTGCGACCACCTCTCCTCAGCGACCAGTTTTCCAAAATACTAAAGTTTCCGAGTCAAATCCCTATATTTGGAACCTCTTGTAAGCAACACCTCTCGTAAGCGACCACGACCACTTTTAGAGCTAAAAGTTTGAAATTCTCTTTTGTTTTTAACCTCCCGTAAGCGACCACTTCACAGATAACAGAGAGGAAATTGGATAATAAGGCGTTGTAACATCATCGTATTACAAGAGACGGAAATTTCTCAATGGGAAGAAACGTACTTTTTTTCTTAAAATTGACTTCACATGAATGAAACATTGCATCGGCATTAGCGCATGGGGTAACTCTCTTCAGTTACCATATTCTGATGAGGTAAAATTTTGACCTAATTTGGTCTTAAGTCTCGTAGACGACCACCTGGGCTTGACATTTTGGGCGGTCTCTCACGGGAGATTCGACTGTATTACCATCATTAGACGCGCTATTGAGAGATGATGATTCCTATATTTTTCTTTAAGTTGTCTTTCCGTGTGTAATCGTTCCCTGCTCCCGCTTGTTCTCGGGGCTGGTCGGCCCACCTGTTTTCTTTTCTGTTCCGTTCTTTTCTCACTCTGCCTCTTTTCCTTATAGTCCGAGGACAGCATTGCGTACAAGGAGGGATCGATTCATCAGGGAGACAAGCTTCTTGAAGTAAACGGTGTAAGTCTCAAGAAAGCAACTCAAGAAGAGGCTTGTAAAGCTTTGAGGGTGAGTTGAAGAGAACATATTCGTTGAATATGCAGTGTATTGATACAATTAAATACAATTTAACACAGTCACAGAATCATTGAAAACTGAGGACTCTCAGATTTGA